GGCTTGCGAACAGATAGACAGACAGACAAAAAACTTTTAAATGCAATTTTCGTTATCAGTAACGCATACAAATCATCTTCCCGAAATCTGGAATTTTGCTTTTGATATTACAGACACTCCAATTTCTATATATATATAGATAGATTAATGATTTTTCTATCATTATCTTCTATATTTTACTGTATATTTTTATTTAGTTCTGTTTTCACTCTACTAGAGCCTTCTGAGAGGTTTCTATAGAATCTGAAAAGTAGTAGCGGAGCGGAGCGGAGTAAGAGCATCGGATAAATGAATCTTCTAATATACTGGAAAAATATTCCCAAACATAGTGTATAAGCCATGACATCGGTGCCCGTTTGATATTAAACATTTGGCGCTAACGGTCGCGATTGATGGTGGTGGTATGATTCCAACTTTATGAATAAGTTCGAATTTTCAATTACTTTGTTAGCTCTATTTAAGGTGGATAGTAGCAAGATGTTATTTCTGTGCACCGATATCCATATACAGAGATCAACACTTACAATATTTTTAACATTTAGATGTATCTAGAATAATAAGTTAGACTACCATGTTGAAAAGCAATTAAGCAGATCCGACTCGAAGGACCACTAACTCTGTTCATTAAATGAAAGCGGAGTTTTATATTTTAGATTTTTATGTCTAATAATTAAATTAAATACCATAAAAGTTAGATACTGTCAAATTTTTAGTATATTTTTATTTTAGAATTCACAATAAAGATTTGCCATGGTACAAAAAATTTAAATTACTAAGATTGCACAGACAATAAAAATTACATGTTCAATATGTATTGACTTATTATTTCTGTTATTAAGCTTGTTTTGACGCGGTCTTTAGGGCTTCTCTTTGTTTTAAGATGCTTACAACGACAATACTGCGGAATTAAAAATGCGCGATAAAATTGTGACCCAGTTTTTTGGCGCTCGTCCCAAACGGGAGTAGTTTTTGAAGTGTTTTATTCGGGCTCTTGTTAACGACGAATATGTCAGGTAGACGAGTCAAAGGAAAAGATTAATTATTTTTCTGTTTTTTTTTTACGTCGAAATTCTTTATTAAAACATCAGAATGTTAAATTTTTATCGTTTTGTTTTTGTACTGTTGTGTAGAGTTAAAATTAGTCCCATGAAATAAAATTGCAATTCAAATTGATATGTTATCAAACAGTTTGGTGAATACAATAAATAAAATTGTAATAAATTAAAAACAATATCCTCAATTTGAATTGTCTTTAGATAATAATTCATACTTCATACTAATATTATAAATGCGAAAATTTAGATGGATGGATGTTTGTTAGAGTTTGTAGCCTAAACGGCTGAACAGATTTCGATAAAATTTGGTGTAGATGTAGATTTTGTTTTTTTTTAATTCCACGCGGACGGTGTCGCGGGTGAAAGCTAGTTTATTGTAATATATATAGACAAATGAAATAATTTCAACCATTCGCATTATCATTCATACAAACATTCCTTTAGGAAATTTAGGCTTTAAATTATTTCCTCAGTTCAGGAAAGTAAAATTATATAGTCAGATGGCTTTATCAGTGTAGAGGAACCAATATTTTCTTGGTTAAAGTTAAAAAGTCAATTTATTATTCAAATCAGATTCATCACGTATGTTTCGGCAGTGGGAACTCAGAGAACTTACCCGGTAAAGCAAAACACATTGTTGGAGTTTTCCTTTGTTTTTATTTGAGACGGCTGCCGTCGCGCATGATAGCGTATTAGGAGTGTACGATAACATTGTGGCCTAGTTTCAGCTTTTGTCCTAAATAAACAGTTGCTCCTAAAAACTTTTATAAGAGCCCTCATTCAGCTCGTGTGCGGGAAATGGACACTTTAAGGGATTAACTTTACGATCAAAGTTTTTTTTAATATTGCTCGAGAACAATTTTCAACAATAAATAAAGGAGCTAACAATTTTTTGATTATCTCAGCTTTTTACATTTTAATATTTTGTGTGAAATATTTTTAGTGAATAAATCTTTTTTGTAAAATAACTGCCCATTAATTTATGTGATACTAGCTTTCCCCTGCGACTTCGTCCGCGTGGAATTAAAAAAAAACGAAAGTGAGTAGCCTGTGTGTTCTTCCAGACTATCCTCTGCATCTATACCAAATTTCATTGAGATCCGTTCAGCCGTTTAGGCTACAAACTCTAACAAACATCCATCCATCCATCTAAACTTTCACATTTATAATATTAGTATGATAGTATGATTCCTGTGTTCATTACAAATGTTGTAAATAATATTAGTCTCATTATCATCATAAAATTTGTACAATTTGGTACTCTAAATTATTTGTTTATGTTCTATGAATCGTTTCATAATAAACAACGTAATTGTTACAATGTAGTTTTAAAGTGCCAAATCTTTCTGTATTGTGAATAATATATAGGTCAATATCAGAACTTGCCATTTTCGTAAAACGTTTCCCCCACGACAAATATTTATCAGCAGTACATCAACTTTCCCAAATTCTTGTCATAATCAATCAATTCTAACGACAAAAGTTGGCGGAAACGCGCGCACGCTACGAACAATTTAGATCGTAACATGGCTCCTATGAAAAAGCAGTTTGACAACTTCCATATAGCTTGAGTGATATATTATATTATAGCTTCGTAAACGTATCGTATAGTTACAAGAACAATGAAAGTTTTAGACATAAAGATTTTGTCGTTATCCTACTTCCTACTAATATTATAAATGCGAATGTAGATGGATGGATGGATGTTTGTTAGCGTTTGTAGCCTAAACGACTAAACGGATTTTGATAAAATTTGCTATAGATGTACAGGATATTCTGGAAGAACACATAGGCTACTCACTTCTGTTTTTTTAATACCACGCGGACGGAGTCGCGGGCGAAAGCTCGTATTTAATAATCGAATAGTATGACATTGATTTTATTACACTATCTTTATCCGCCTCAACGTATAACACATACTTACTTCTGCTGCAAACGGCCGATTTTTTTTTTGTTTTCCTTCGTTGGTATTTGACCTTTCAATGTGCTGAATTATTTTAAATACTCCAGAATATTCGAATAATAGTAAGGAACATGACATTTATAAATGTGTAGGTATTTTGGAGTTGACATAAAATAATAGCGCCATTAGATAATAAGCGGCTTCTCAAAATAATGTAAACGTAGCACGTAATGATAATACTCAGCTGATTAATGCACTACACATTACTTCGCCTTGTACTCGTCATGGCATTGCACGATTTATATGACTTGCTTGTCACAAGGTAAATGAACTGTGACTCAGAGTTTGAAATTATTGTACTTTTGTGCTAACGACATCACTGTCTGTAAATTGAATTGTATTGTTAAAGATACTACAATATCTTTTTGATGAACTATCTGTTGCTCGCGACTTCGTCCCCATGGAATTAAAAAAATATATAATTGAACACTAGGCCTATATTACTCACTGGTAATACAGCTTTTAAATGGTGCAAGAATTTTATAAATCGGTTCACAGGTTTTTGAGTTATTTCAATACAACAAAAAAACAAATCTTTCCTCTTTATAATATGTCTGCAGTAAAGTGGTTCAATGGTAAAAGCATTTTAGTATGTAATTGATATTGTTATAGTAAAATAAAAGATATACAACTGTTTGATTTCAAATTTATTTCAACTTTTTAAAGAATGACACTACATATATCACTTCGCTTACAAACAATTTAATTGCTTATTATTTATAACTTCAGTTCAAAGAGTATTTACAATTTATTACACTAACCTAGTTACGATATAGTAGGCTGGTC